CACAAAGTTATGATGACAATAATTGTTTACAGCGTACTTACGCATTCGATTGAAAACGAATAGCTGATAATATGGATATTGGATACGATTGCAGGCATTTCCATCTCCTCAACGCTCTAACACGTCAGATGAACTATATTTTCAGTTGTATATACGAGTATATGTGAGAGTATTACATACAAATATACAATAGCCAAAAGGTATAATGTTAAAAGCATGTATATAGTTGTATATACTGTTACAGATTCGAGTGGAGTTTCGAGTTGAGATGAATTTTTCAAAAGTGCAGAAATAATAAGGGATACACTGGTCACAACAGTCAACGATAACGACAACAACAAATTCTTTTAGAAAAAAAAAATAAGAGAGCTTTATTGTGAACCGGATGATCCTCTATTGCCGTTTGACCGAATCAATAGTGAAAACCTTTCGTTATTCACTCACACCTAACGGACAAACGCATTCGGGTCGGAACTAGGGAAGGAGTGCAATAGCAGCAATCAGGTCATACACACACACACGTACGCACATAGAGGCCATGTACTCTATAGGCCATATAGGCTATTATTTGGAGGCACACATAAAAGGTCAAGAGGATGGGGAAGCGGTGAAGGGGAGGCGGCAGTTGAAGGCGATATATAGTGCTTAGGTTAAAGGATGCAGCATGGGTGTGGCGGCGGTAAAGAGAGCAGAAAATCGCTGGAACTGCGCTGGCTGTGCTCTCTCGGCACGTCATATATATATAGGTAGCCGGAAAAAGAGGCGGAGGAAGATTACGTGTTAATGGCGCGGCAGCGGGGTGGAAGTATAGGGTGTGGGGTGGTCTCGACCGAGATGGCCTCTTATGTCTTTCTTTCCTCCCTTATTACACTCTACGAGCAGCGCAGCGCGCCGTCGGAGTCAAGGGTGAATTATAGCGGCACCCCCGACGAGTGTGTATATACACTAATTGCACATTCTTGGAATAGTTCGTCCACCGTCTCCCTGTTCCCCTACCCCTACTCCCTTCTCACGTACCCTTTTCTCTTTCTCTACACACACGCGCTCGCGAGTTCACGTATATATAAACACATATATAGTACCGTCTACTATCCTCTCGTCACCCTTTCACAACCCTATCGTGGAACCTTCATCACCACCACCATCGCCTTCAGCCTCGGGACCGAAACGCGTATGCCACCTCATCCGTTCGTCACCGCGCCGACTGCCGCAAAACAACCCCTTTGACCCGCATCCAAACTACTCCACCACCACCCCCTACGGTCATTTGCCCACACAAATCGGAACCCTCCCACTCCACCTTAGCACGGGGGATGATGAAAACTATATACTGCACCTACCCGCCACCACTTCAACGCGCTGCACTGAAAACCGGGTTCGCCTATATATATATTATATTATATTCTCGCTGCAAAACCTCACGCCACCGCCGGCATAATATCATAAAATTAAATTTATAGCAATACGTGTTTATTACACGCTAAACCGTCGTCGTCTCGCTATCAAATTGTTCAATTTTTTTTCTCAAACGCATTTAAGGGGGTTTTAAGCTTTCACCGACGGCGTTTGCCGGTTTTTACGAGACGAATCACGAGCGCGACCGGTTTTCAGAATTATCTACATACCAACATCATAATTGAAGTCTTAAATATAAAAAAAAATGTGCATATAAAATATATCAATATGCATAAATACGGATTCTACGTTCTACTGCCTAGATTTCAGTGTTTTTTCTTATTAATTTTCAATTCTTTCATAGTCAATATAATGGGGTTTGAAAGTTTTTTTTTAACAATTTTAGGTATCGAAATTATTATTTTTTTAAATATATGCATATAGATAGATATGCACTGCATTTAATGAGTTGCTACTCAACTATTATAAGTTTCAACACCTCTCCCTGGTCTAATTTTAAATTAATAATACTGCAATTTATACGTAAAAGGCGTATAATATATCAATTACAATTAGTATTATATATAGCACTATTGCAGCAGTCGTCGAAGTAAAGTAATTTTAAGTGCATAACAATTTTCTTTGCTTCACTTTAACCGTTATAATATGTACCTTATACAGGCCTTTGACGATATTTCTATATTAACGCATTTTAGCGACTTTTTTCTACGACACTTTTACCACCACTGGAAAACGATAAAACGATTGTATAAATGCCATTGGCTAGCCACCCCTTTTGCATAGTGTTGCAGGAGACAATTCATTTTTCAATGAATATCTATAAGCTAAACTTTTATTCGCCCCCTATCGTACACATGACCCTTTTATTTTGTATATAAACATCTGCTCGTCCCTCCTAAATGTTTTATGCCATTACCTATTATACATATTACTTACATTATTATAATTTTTTATAGTTTATTTTTTATCCAGTATAATCATAAATAATATTAATATATATGCGTAGGTAAGTACGCATCCACTCCCAGGAGGTGGGTCGCTCTCTCGTCGGACGCAACACTGCAGTCTAATATTGCTCACGTAAAGAAATGTTAGAGGCGAGGGCGAGGGTGATGCAGGCAGCAGCAAAAGCGGATAGGACGGAAAACAATAAAAACTTCGCCTTTTATAGTTGCCTTGAATCGCAAAAGTATTTACGACCCCAAGTTTTCGGCGAGATAAGTTTTTGAGTAAAATGCGGTCGGAAGACAAAAAGGGTCACTTTCAGTGGCGAGACGACGGAAGACAAAAGCTTTCAAAAGTCGGTTTAGAGCGGACAAAAAATATATACATCACACTATACACACACAAACACATAGACTGCACACAAACATATATATATATATATATATATATATAATGCGTGTGCGAGAGCGCGCGAAACGGCAATAAATTCATGAGGGTCCGACACAAGGAAAAGTTACAAGGAGAAAGAGAGAGGAATTAATAATAACAGGTGTGCTGCTGCACAATAGCATGGGCCATAAAAATGTTTGGCAACTTTTAGTCTTTTAAGCATTTAAAATTTTATTTCATATATATATTGTAGGTACGCAGAACAGAAGTGCCTATTATTATTATTATACGTAATAAGGCATTGTATATCGGTGTGTATATACGTTTTTTTTTACTAGATATATAGATATGTTGGTGAAAATAAAAAGTATTACCTATGTATAAGTAAATAATAATATATACAAGTTTTTTTTATAGCACTTCAAAATAAATTTATGTCAAGTCGTGATAAAAATCTATATTGAACACGTAATTTGTATATAAATAACAAAAACTATGAGGCTGAGTCTATATAATATACATTATATACGCTGTTTTTGTTATCAAAAAACATGATTTTTTGCATAATAGTAGCGTTTTCAAGTTCCACTGCGTTATCTGCAGCGGCCCTGAGTAAAGTTTTATATAGTAAACCGATCGAGATAAACACCAAGAGAGAACGAAATCGTTCAATTGAAATAAACCGTCGACCACTTTGACGAAAAAAATATAGGTACCTACGCCAAGCATAAAAATCAGCAATGTTATTTTGAATCGACAAATAATCGTACATACAGGCTGATCCATTAAACTGTCAATATATTAACACTAATTTTATAAAAATTAAAAAAAGATTTTTAAAAATTTATTTTCTATCATAGTAGTGGTTTTTAAATGATTTTCAATGATAACACATAAACAATTCATCCTAATCGGAATTATTTCCAAATTTTTTTTTTTTATTTAAGCGTGTAAATTGTTTGGGTGGCAAGCAGTAAAATGGCAAATACTATACTATTATAGATGAATCCAGGTTGCCTAGACCCCCCTCCCTACTGCCATATTATATCTCTCATTTTTTTTATAATTCTATAGATCCTAATATTATTAACTCCAATCACAGATACTTATATATGATAATATTATAAATTATATATTATTAACAATATATTTTTGGACTGTGATTCCAATATTTTAATTTCTAATAAAGTTAAAAAATGTTTGATTAGGAATAAAGTGTATATTGTGATTGTATTTGTATTGTAAATATATGTTGACCCCCTCCCCCAGATCTTTGACCTGGATCTGCGACTAACTGCAATATAACTGCAATAATCAAAAACTAATCGTTCAATATTCTATATTAATACATCTACAGTTCAAAAAATAATATTTTGCTCACGATTATGCAACTTAAAAAATAATTGAAAGTTTAACTGTATAAAAACTTTTGATTTTTTGAATTCATTACACTTAAAAAAAGACTTGAGTTAGAAAATTAATGTACATAACTATTGTGTAGGCTATACACACACTAATTTGGTTATATACTATCTACGTTATGAAATTGCTGAACACGAGTAATATATTTATTACTATTATTACTCTCCTACATTTTTCTTTTAAGACTTTTGACAGAAAACTTAACAACAGTATATTACATAATATACTTATGGTGTTCACCTAAATACAACACATGGTGTCTTAGAGAATATTTTATTATACTTTATTATTGACGTTTGACAGAATACTAATATTAAAGATTATATATTGAGGAAAACGCTAAAAAGGTGAAAAATTAGATTTTCCAAGAACTAAAAAAACGTTACAAATAATTATACATAGTAATAATACGAATATAGAATGGTTTATCATCACATTTATGTGAGCAGTATAATATGTGAATATGATAACATTGATAACAATAAGCACTGGCACGGGGTTGTTAGCGTAGGCTCCGTTAATACCGACTTTACCTACCTATGTGAACTTTTGCATGTAATTAAAATATGAATAGTTATCATCTTATTCGGTCAATATGTTTGGTCAGTCTGAGGGTGGTTATTGATGAATATATAATAGTGGTTAAAAAATGTTACTACCTCGGCCCTCCCGAGTTGTTGGAACGAACCTTAATATGTCGGATACTTATTGTATTTAAACGACTATGCCATGCCGATATAATGACTATTTTATCTGAGAGCGTTTGTGGCGATGATGATGATATTATTACAATAATTGATTAATAAATACATTATGCGATCACTCACCGTACATTTTACCCTCGTCGGACAGAATGATCTTCCGGCGCCCGCACGGCGGGTATATGGCCAGCGCTTCCTGGAAGCTCTGCTCGATATCCGGGCTCCACACGCCCTCTGCATCAGCCGCCGACAGTTCCTTGTCGTCATCGCAGTCGTCCACGTCCAGGCTGAGGTTGCTACCCGCGTTCACGCCAGCCGCGCTGCGCATACCGTTGCCGCCGCCGTCTGGCCCGTCCGGGTTACCGCCGGCCGTGCCCCCACCGGGCGTCCAAGGCGACGACACCGTACTACAGCTCGACACCACCGCAAAACCTTTAAAAACAGAAAGGAAAACCGTCAGTACCTATATTTATAATATAATATATACATCGTAAAATAATGCTGGACACGTGGGTGGGGGGAGGGGGTCGAGACGAGATACTTGAAAAATGGTGGATGTAGGAGGAGCTTATTATAACCATCCTCACACGAAAATGATATAAATTTAATTCCATGGCGACTGCATGACAACCGTCGCACTCAACACAACTCCTCGGAATTGCATCAATATATACTTGCAAAAAACTCCACAATCTTCTTAAAATGAAGACATTTGGGACATGTGGTTTTAAAAAACGAAACTAAGCATACAAACCCAACTAAACTATCAAGCCTGCCCCTCAATAAAAAAATCAACTAATTGCGCCACTAGCTTTGTTGATTTGGAATATAAGAATATACTTTTTATAACACATAATTGTGCATATAGTGCATCTATATTATATTTCACGAAGGTACGTTCACTGTGATTAGCTGAGTTGTCGTGACACGACATTTCAGTTTTGAACTCGAGGAGTTTTCGTAAATTAACTTATAATATATTAGTTATTTGGATTAACTATTCAGCTCCCATAGCCACCATAAGTAATCGTTATTATATTGCAATATTTTAATATTAAAGCAAACGACGTAACGGCCGATAAAAAAAACCACGGGTACCTAGAATTGCCCGAGTCCGGATTTTTGTATTTTAATATTCTGTAAAAGCCAAGACGAGATCTCGTTTTAACGACGGCGGCGGTATATATATACATATAACGCACACCGTCGACTCGCAGTGTATTAAATATATGTTATTAAATAGGCATAACCGGTATACTATGATATGTACGTCGTACGCGAGTAAATTATTGAAATAATTATTGACGAAACGCATGGAAAAAAAACGAAATTAAAAGTTACCGTTAAGCATATACAGGGTGATTCATTAAGCATGCTCGCCCACTTTTTTACATTAATAATAAATTTGTAAAAATTCTGATTTTTTAAACTGTTTAAATTCTGTAGTACCATATATTTCCTAATAGGTACTTAGATTTTAAACACACCATTTAAGAGAGTGGCGATACACACTTCTTATTTTAAAATAAAAATTTCCAATTTTTCCAGTGAATTGTCAATCAGATGACTAAGAAATTGTCGATCTTACTCGTGGGGGAAGGGTGACAGTCTCTGGTGAATCACATTATATAATAACATATATAATATAATACAAGTGTGATGTGCGAAACCATCAGTCCGTACTTGAAGTGTTATACACACAATAATAACATATTATTATAATAGAAGTTAAATTGGAGGAATTCGGGCCACCGCCGCTATACCTACGATTGTTATCGATCCGAGGAGAGACGCGAACGACGACCATACGCGTTGTTTTAGCAGGTCTTATACGTATAGGTAGGTAAATTCATCGTTGCTCACGTACCTATTATATTATTAGCCGGTGACGGTTTGCGTTATATTATCTGGGTATTATTTTTTTTCAGCGCTACCATAAACGTTAATGTTGTGGCCGGATTTATCGAAATCCATCGCCAAATTTGGTGCATAGTGGGTCAGAAACCATCGTAACAACATTATACAGTGTATATAAACCCACTCACATTTCCACGTCGTGTCCCGAGTGTGCTCTTGGATTGGCAGTTATATTATGGAGTCGATTGAACGCACGAAATGTTTTTTGTTTTCACGTATTCGCTCGTTATTGGCAATTGTTTTTAATTGTAATGTGTTGCCGCCGTGTGGTTAAGTGCAGCTATTTCGGCTTAACACAATAACCATAGTCCATAATGGTATATAATATATGGTCGTTGTATATTATGTAGGTAGCGGCGCGGTAATGACAATAATAATAACAACTTGACCCACATACGATGACGGTGGTGATGCGGCGTGCACTGTTCCTACTACAAGAGCGTATATTATAACGTTTTTAAAGTAAAACACATCACGTAGGTACTTATACGCACTAACGGTAACAGTACGGTATTGTCCCTATTTAATATTATGTCTTACGAACGATTTACCGTGTCGCGGCGTGTGTGAAATTATCGCAAATCCGATTAAAACGCGTTTGTGCGGCGTTTCATAATTGAAAACGATATCGTTTTGGGACACGTATTGTTGTTAATAGTTATACAACGCGACAATATTATAATGCCCAAACTTTACAAGCGATTACGCGTGTCAGCATCGGCGCACATAATAAATGATAATAATGTACATATAAAATAATTATAAATTGCGGGTTACTTAACTGCAACGCGCTATATATAAAGAGTAAATTCTATATATAGACACCGAAAACAACGTCTTCTATAATCGTATTTTCGTACAATCTCTACGAGCTCGAACAATTTTTTTTAACATGGTGATTACCAATCGTCATCACTCACATGCCCAGGACAGTCCTGTGGCAATGAAAACTTTTGTTGTACAAATGAGAACATTTTTTATTTTTTACAGTAAGATACAAACAAACCTTGATGTATCGATAAATAATCGAAATTAAGTTTTATTAAGTTAATTATAACTATAAGTATACGATTGATATTATATTATATTATATGATTTTAACAGATTTGAAATTGTTGTGTACAACTGAAAGAAAGAAGTATATATTTATCACTCAGTATGGTACTCTTTAACTGGTAAAAAATTCAAGTGTTTCAAAAATTTCAAAAATCAAAATCTGGATAAATGTAAATGTTAAAATGGAGATAATGATGAACATACTTGGTGAATCACCCTGTATAACCTTAGCATAAACGTTTAAAACTCGACGATATTATAGTAATGTAATATTATGTACTAATTTCGGATTTAGTCGGGAACGTCGTAAAAAAAAATTACAATAATAAAACGTTTTAACGTTAAGTATTAAAGACCGCGTTTTAATGCAACGCGCGATGAACTTGATCGATTAAAACCGATATCAGCCAGCCATAGGGCGACGATATATTATATACATAATATTATATTTAATATACGTAGGTACTAGGTAGTAGGTACTCGCTACACGTATGAATACGTTTTGAAATGATTCGTTCAAGTTTATTGACGCGTCATTATAATAGCGATGTAATTTGTGCAGCGCACAAACACGTCATTATATCATTGTCGTCGTGACGAAATTAAGAGCGAGTCACCCAACGTCCGACGGTGAACAATAATAATTACTGAAATATAATTACATATGTATGAAGTATGAACCTACCGTATGTATATTGTATATTGAAGACTTTAATAATTATATGTTAATTAGTTAATTATTGTTGATTCATTCGAAACACATATTTTTATCTTTCTGTTATATAAAAAAGTTTTGTACATTTTACGTTTCTCAGAACATAGGTATAATCGCCATGGCAAACAAAAATAAATAAATAATAATTACTATTAATTAAATACTCAAAACTCTATTATTCCAAAAATTTCTTGGTATTTTATCTTTTACATAATTTATTTTTAAATATTTTAAATTACAGATATTAAATTTCATGAAGTAAAAGTGTAGGGGGTGACCCTTGGGAACCTCGGTGAGCGAAGAACCCTAGTCAATATATAAAACAATTAACGAGTTTTCGCGGAGGTACCAAAAGCAAATAGTTCACCAAAAATAGTTTTACTTTATGTCAAAACTAAACAGCTTTTTTCCAGTTTATTTTTCCTGGTAACATGTATAATATTATATTATATGGTTTTGGTGATTATAACGACCCATACCATTTGATAATTTGCTCTAATTGGTACCTACACAAAAACTCGAAACGAATCTGTAAATCCCTTAAAATTGGATGACTATTTAGATTCAATCTATTATAGCCATTTTACAGCTGTTTCGAGCAATACCATATTGTTGATGCATTTGTCACCGGTTAACAGTCGTCATTATCGGAGTGATGTTCCTACTTCCTACATACATAATATTGTCTTATCCGAACGTTTGAATAGACCGTGCAGACCTAACCTAACATTGCTACAGCTCCACACAACTGGCTGGTAATCATTTTGTTATCCACGACCGCATCGTTTCGGATTTTCCAGTAAATTCTTCTAACAATTATTATTACTATTATTATACGATAATATGTCTCGATTTAATTACGTACGATTTAAAAATTAACATACTGTTATTAAATTATACAGAGCAATTTCCCGCCGCAAGCGGGCTCACAGCTACTTTTATCCTTTAATAATGCATTATTTTGTTTGAATTTCAGGTTTTGAAATCAAGCATTTTAACATAATTAAAAGAATGTCCTGATATATAAATTTTTTTGATTATAACCACCCTTCTTTTTTTACTGTAACTCGTAAAGTAGAGTGCAGAAAATTTTTTTTTAAATAACCCTTATAATAGTGATATCACATGAAATATGTGTATAATGTGTTTAGTCTTGCATTATTAAATGTTAATCAATTCACAATGCCTAATAATTAATTATAATTAACACATCATAGCCATATCTTGAAAACCTAAAAAATATTATTAATAGGCTGTATACCAATATAGCTATTATTAGTAAATAAAGTTACTCAGAAACTACTCGCCAAAATGCCGAGTTAGTTGCATCGACATTTTTAATTTTTTTTTCAAAATTGTGGTTTTCATTCAAAATATAGTTTTTAAATAAGCCTAATAATTCAGACATTCAGAATTTTAAAAAATGCATGATTAAAAGGGAAAATAAGGGCCACCGCGCTTGATGAATCATCAAGCCAAATTATAATACTGAAATAATATTATTTGTTATGTTCACGTACGACGTGGAAAAATATAATAATTTGTGACATATGTGAAACGAAAAAATTTAAAATATAAGTAAAAATAAAACGGCACACAGCAAACAACAAGTATAGATATAGTAATAGAACACGATTGTGCACCTTTTACCTTTTATATTTGAGCAAACAAAACAACGATTGTGCTAAACAAATATTTTACATAGTTGGATCTAAAAAAAAAAATTAAAATTGTTCTAAAATAT